TTTTTTTTTTTTTTAATCACCCTCTATCTCATAGCTGAAAAAACTGAAGCCCAGAAATTGAAGCCACTCTATGGTGGTCACACCGTGAGCAGTAGGGGTCAAACTCAGGTGCTCGATACCAGCTGTCACCTTCACCTGTAGGCTACACCAGCTGAAGACTCCCGCTGCCATCGTCTCTCTTGACACACTGTTGTCATTGTCGGTGGTGTCTATCCATGACTGACTCCCCATTTCCTGTGAGTTCCCTGAGGATTGGACTTATCCTGGGTCCTGAGGTCTCAATAGTAGGTCTGGCCCAGAGGAGATGGATGATTGGATGGGTGGTGGGTAGGAGGGTGGGAGGATGGGTGGACAAATGGATAGATGGATAGATGGATTGGTGGGTGAGTGGGTGGGTAGGTGCATGGGTGGATGACTGCATGGATGGATGATGGATGGATGGATCAGTAGGTGGCTAACTGTAGAACAGAATATGGATGATAGAATTCTGAGTGGAGCGAACCACATGAACAAATCAGCAAGTCCCATAGCTTGGAGAGGTCTGGAGAGGGCTTTCCTGGAGTGTTGGGGTGTGCCTTGGGACAATAGGTCCCTACAGGTGCCAAGTACCATTGAGGGACTGAACTGGAAATCTGCAGGCGTCTAGGATGTCACAATGATTGAGGATCTCCACTGGCCTTTCTTGAGTTTATGGGACTGTCGGGTGAACAGAAAGCCTGTTTATAATTACCTGCAGCTTGAATCTAACTCTCTTTTATATATAAGCACCAGTTTGGGGGCATGATTTTAATATATCCTACATTTTCCAGAAATATAAGTATCTCATAAATTAAGGGAAGATTTTCCTTTGTCCAGAACATCCTTGAGACGGGTTCACCATCTCACAAAATTTGTGTCACTCAGGCCACACTTCTCACAATGTCGAGGACTGTGAAGATGCACCTGGAGCAGGCTGTAGGCACAGCAGTTTGCATCCTGGGGAGCCGGGGTAGACTTTCCACTATGTTGGAGCAGGCTGTAGGCACAGCAGTTTGCATCCTGGGGAGCCGGGGTAGACCTTCCACTATGTCTCCTGAGGTCGCCAGCCCTGAGCATGAAAACAGTGACATGCATCTTTTTTTTTTTTTAACCATATGTTAGTTTCCATTTATTTCAGTTCAGCTTTACCCAGGACAGTGCTGGAGCCCGGTCACCCAAGAGAGCAGATCCGTGTGTGGCTCTTCTGAATCCTGTAAGTTTGCATTCATGGTTATCACATTGGTAGTCTGAAATCAGCTGGGGTGGAAGTAGTATTTATACCACGGAAATGGGCAAATGATACCAATCAGGGTTTTGCTCTTTTTTTCTTTTTTTTTTTTTCCCTTCTCAGAGGATTGTTAAATATTTACCAGCTCACAGCTGGCTACACTGGCTTGTTTCATTGTGTGTAGAGGCAAGCATTGTTATCTATGAAGATCGCTTCAGCATAGGAGAGGGGCCTGGGCCCACAGGCTACAGAAGCACGGTGAAAGGAAATGAGCGCACTGAGCTGAGCACACCAGTACAGTGGAGTGCAGGACTGTGCCTAAGCAGGTGAGAAGCGAGTGCCTTTGTACCCTTGAGAGAAGACATGTGGGGGTCGGGTGGGCTCAAACAGCTAGGGAGGTTCTGCTCTGCTCCCTCCTCATCCCAAGGGAGGCAGGAACTGGAACCCAGCAGCCCCTGCTCCTTTGTCTGAAGAACTTTCCATGACAGACCTGGGGCTGCTGCTTGGTGCTGGGCTGTTCTGACCCTTGCAATGGGGAAAGATCAACTAGTAAGAAAAGGAGTGGCCCTGTGGCTCCTACAGTGACCAGCTCTAAACTTGCCCTCCTGGGCAATCCCCCCAGGACCAGCCTCTCCATCACGTCTTCCTCAGGGTCAGGGTCAATCCTAACTGTCTCCAAGCCACGGCCCAGGTCTGAGCATCTAGTATCAGTAACTCCACTTTCGAGCTCTATGTTGGAGCAGGCTGTAGGCACAGCAGTTTGCATCCTGGGGAGCCGGGGTAGACTTTCCACTATGTTGGAGCAGGCTGTAGGCACAGCAGTTTGCATCCTGGGGAGCCGGGGTAGACTTTCCACTATGTTGGAGCAGGCTGTAGGCACAGCAGTTTGCATCCTGGGGAGCCGGGGTAGACTTTCCACTATGTTGGAGCAGGCTGTAGGCACAGCAGTTTGCATCCTGGGGAGCCGGGGTAGACTTTCCACTATGTTGGAGCAGGCTGTAGGCACAGCAGTTTGCATCCTGGGGAGCCGGGGTAGACCTTCCACTATGTCTCCTGAGGTCGCCAGCCCTGAGCATGAAAACAGTGACATGCATCTTTTTTTTTTTTTAACCATATGTTAGTTTCCATTTATTTCAGTTCAGCTTTACCCAGGACAGTGCTGGAGCCCGGTCACCCAAGAGAGCAGATCCGTGTGTGGCTCTTCTGAATCCTGTAAGTTTGCATTCATGGTTATCACATTGGTAGTCTGAAATCAGCTGGGGTGGAAGTAGTATTTATACCACGGAAATGGGCAAATGATACCAATCAGGGTTTTGCTCTTTTTTTCTTTTTTTTTTTTTCCCTTCTCAGAGGATTGTTAAATATTTACCAGCTCACAGCTGGCTACACTGGCTTGTTTCATTGTGTGTAGAGGCAAGCATTGTTATCTATGAAGATCGCTTCAGCATAGGAGAGGGGCCTGGGCCCACAGGCTACAGAAGCACGGTGAAAGGAAATGAGCGCACTGAGCTGAGCACACCAGTACAGTGGAGTGCAGGACTGTGCCTAAGCAGGTGAGAAGCGAGTGCCTTTGTACCCTTGAGAGAAGACATGTGGGGGTCGGGTGGGCTCAAACAGCTAGGGAGGTTCTGCTCTGCTCCCTCCTCATCCCAAGGGAGGCAGGAACTGGAACCCAGCAGCCCCTGCTCCTTTGTCTGAAGAACTTTCCATGACAGACCTGGGGCTGCTGCTTGGTGCTGGGCTGTTCTGACCCTTGCAATGGGGAAAGATCAACTAGTAAGAAAAGGAGTGGCCCTGTGGCTCCTACAGTGACCAGCTCTAAACTTGCCCTCCTGGGCAATCCCCCCAGGACCAGCCTCTCCATCACGTCTTCCTCAGGGTCAGGGTCAATCCTAACTGTCTCCAAGCCACGGCCCAGGTCTGAGCATCTAGTATCAGTAACTCCACTTTCGAGCTCCTATACACCAAGAGCTTCTAGAGCAGGGCTGCCCTCTCACCCTGCCAGCCTCCCTTGGGAGGTCACCTTACCTTCCCCATTCTTTGGAGAACGCAAGCTCTGAGAGAGGACATGATTTGCCCAAGGTCACCTAGCTAACTAGTGCTGGAGTCAGGACCAAAAGCCAGGCTGTCTGACTCCCAGTGGGTACGTAACCCCACACTCGAACTGCCAGAGGGAAGATGGTATCTGCTCACCCCCTCCCTTTGATGAGGTCTCACGTATAGGTCAGAGCTGGAAAGGGCCAGAGAAGTGACTTAATCCCAGGATCCTCAGCAGTTCATAAATCTCCCCCCATCCGACACACAGCAGCTTCAGCATCAGAGGCTGGTTCCTCCGTGAGTGGAGGGGAGGCCTTTTTTTTCTAAGGAGGGTTGTCTCTGCTGGTCTGTTTGTCATGTAGGTAGGGTAAGGCTGAATAATGGTGATTTCAGTGGAGCCATCGACAGCCAACGTTATTGCTATGGCTCTAAAACACAAACAGAGAAAGAATCTATTAGTCACTGAGGAGCGTAATCGCCTGTTGAGTAATCAGCCTGTCGGCCATGGTACCTGAGAACCACAGGATGATAAATGAATACCACAGCCGGATTCTTGGACACTTGTGGGTGGGTGTGGGGCCTATGGGCAGGGAGGCCATGGCCTCGTTCCGGAAACCTTGCTTCTTATCAATGGACCGAAGACCCATTCTAGTTCAACTCTCCATTTCACAGACAGGGAAACCGAGGCCTAGAAGGAAGAAAGGGTTTACCTAAGGTCACCCAGTAGGTTCAGGACAGGGTCAGGGCTGGAAGCCAATGCTTGCTGACTGTCTACCATCTGTGAGGACAGCAAGTCCTGTGAGCAGTGGCTGGGGTCACAGGGTGTTGTCCAGCCATCTCCAACCCACTTTCCTCCTCCCTCTGACATTCCCTGGCTGACCCCAGACCCTTTTCCCCTCCTCTTCACAGATAAGGCTGCCAAGGTTTCCAGAGCAGCTTAGGGACAGGGTGTGGCTTCTGGAATGTCCAGAATTGGGACTGAGACCAGGATCTGTGTCTCCTCTCCCCATCTCAGGTCTGTTCATTAGCAGCTGTATGGTGGATCCAGACACTCTCTGAGGTTTGCCAAATGGACAAAGAGACCAAAGGTTCCCCAAAATTCAATCAGAAAGGGCCTCCTTGGAAGGAATAAAGACTGGGAAGGATGTTGCCAGAGCTTCTGCGCATTTTTTTTTTTTTTTTTTTTTTTACTTTTGCCAGAGTGTGTGAGAGAGAGTGAGAAAATACTCCCCCACCCTACCATGGGGGATGGCCATGCCATACTCTCCTCTTCTTTTCTCTCCCTTTTAGGATTTTGGACATGCATGCACACACAGCAGGCTTGTTTCCCGAACTTCCAGATCTGGGACTTGAACTGCACAGTTGGCCACGTGGGATCCAACCTCCCCAACCACCACACCATGGGCTTAGCCCAACTTCTGCATTTTCAAGCTCCTAGCCACTGTTGTGAGCCAGCTACTCTTCCCGCCTGGGCCTCAGTTTTCTTCTGTCCAATGGGCACAGAGACGCTCATCTGATACCAGCAAAACCTTGCCACATACCCGGTTGTGCCGAATGTCCCAGGGCTTATCGCACTCCAGGAACTGAGCAAAGCCACTCTGCATCTATTCTCTCATTTAAATCTCACAATAACCTTAAGCCAGGATCCGTAGTTCCTATTTTAAAGATAAAGCAACTGAGGCCTTGAAAGTTTTTGGCAACTTTTTCAGGATCCCACAGTGGATCCAGGATCCATACCCAGGGGTTGATAGACCACATTCTGACAGAGCTTTCAACAGGCCTATGGCTTCAGCCAGAGCAGGAATCCTAAGTTCAACCATGGAGAGTTTGGGGCAGCTCTTAGGGAAGGATGCTGTATCCAGGGCATAGAACTGGGGCCTGGGGCCCAGCCAATCTGTATGCCAGGGGAGGGCATTAGGCCACATCTATCAATACGTCATGGGGCCCCTTTGGCAGAGCTAGAACCTTCCGGGGTCTGCCTGCTCCCTCTCACTCTGGCTGGCTCTCTGAATAGTAAGTGAGGGTAAAGGGAGCGGGTTCCCTGAATGACGGCAGGGGTCAGGTCAGGTATTTCAGAAACTTGCTGATCTGATCCCCTAAACAGTCCTGGGAAGGAGGGATTGTTAGGTAAAGAGAATGAAGCCCAGAGAGGTGAAGTGACCAGTTGGAAGTCACCCAGGCTATGACTTGGACTGGGCCTGTCTGCCCATGCCTATGGTTTCCACTGTCCCTCGTGCCCATACATACAAGTTGCAGGACGTTACATGAGTCACTTGGCCTCCTGACCCTTGGTCTGTGAAATGAGAAGATTCATCCCTGCCCTCGTTACCAAGTGCCAGGTGACTTCAACAAGATCATGGAGCTGTGATGACATTCTGCCATGACCGGCGTTCGGCTCTTGGGTGATATCAGGACACAGGTGACCCCTCAGCCTAAGTATCACCTCCCCTGGCCTGACTCAGTGCCTCAAATCCCATCACTCTGGCTGTTTCTCCCAGGCCAGACTTTGTCCCCAGTAAGTCCCCTGGAAAGTGGTGGGGTTGGGCCAGGATTATCCCCACCCCCTGGTCATATAGTGGGATGAGCCATTTCCAGAAAGACAGGTGGACTGGGACAGCTGAGCAGTGCCCCTAGACCTGGGTAACATCCTATCTAATAAGCTCTTCCCTGTCTTCTGGTGGGAAAATATACCACTTCCCATGTGGTGGGAGGAGGGGTGGGTGGTGGCCCAAAAGATTTTGCAGATACAACTGCTTTGGACCCTAGGAGGCCTGGTGACCAAGGAGACGCTGGAGTCAGTGAAGTCTGATGATCTAGGTCCTGGGGTCAGTGAGGTGGGCTCTGGGAAGTCCATCTGTGCGAATCTAGACATACAGAAGACTTTTGGGGAGCCCTGGGAGTCCTGCTGGGTGGCCAGAGTGGAGGGATGGCCAGTAGATTCTACCCCAAGGCAAAGTGGAGTCAGCATCAGGATGTAGTGGTGAGACATCTCAACTGTGACCCGGGGAATTTGATCCGTGCCGGTGACCGAGTGTCTGCGTGAGGTCTTCTCTGGTGCACGGGGTGAGGTCATTTCTAATAGCCAGAGCTCAGGCTGAGGGTATATTGCCTCCAGGCTTGAAGTTCAGGGCCAGGGCAATGTTGTTTGGGGTGTGGGCATGGAGTGTCCTTTGTAAGTGGGAACTGGCTTGGGTGATGCGGCCTCCAGCGTTCACTGAGTTTGATTGAACATGGCTCACTCACAGGGTTTGTCCTGGACTGTAAATCAGTGGACCCACCCACCCAGAGTAATGAGGCCAGTCACCAGGTGGTGCGTAGTTGCAACTGACAGATTTTGGGGGTTGGTTTTGGGGGAAGCATAGGTTCAGTAGGTCCCATATAAGATAAGTGGCTGCTTAGCCAAAAGTACAAGCTATGGTTAACAGATCCTGGGGGGTATGCACCTCCCTCTGACCCAGTCCTTATGGGGTAGGGACTAGGTGGAAACTTGATAGGGTAAGGCCTAGAGTAAGAAAGGGACTGAATTTTGAAAAATGTCTGAGGAGAGCATTATGTCTCAACTAAACGGGCTATGGACCCACCAGGGACCTAACAGTTCTGCCTTTCACAGGAGGCCAGCAGAGTGTGTGCTCAGAAGACCGTGTGTATGTTGCTTACCGCCAGTCACGTCTGTCACTCTGAAGGGAAGAAAGTTTTCTGGCAAGGTCCTCTGTTATAGCTTTATTACAGACAGGAATATGCGTGATTTTCTTTTCTGTTTTCTTTTTTAATTATTTTATTTAACTTTAGTTATTTATTTACTTCTTTTAATGTGACTGGGATGGGAGGGGAGAAGAGAGAGAGATAAAGAGAGAGAGAAAGCAAGCCGCCAGGTCTGGGACATGTGGGAGTCCAGCACCCTTAACCACCACGCCACCTGCCGGCCCCCTTTCTTTCCTTTTTAAATCACCAGTGTGTGTGTGAGCTCACCAGCCCCCTTACCCACCCCGCCACCTGCCGGCCCCCTTTCTTTCCTTTTTAAATCACCAGTGTGTGTGTGAGCTCACCAGACAGAGACAGAGACAGAGACAGAGAAAACACCTCCCACTAAGACATGGTCATACCACAATCTCTTCCCATCCACTTCCCCCTCCCATCAGGATTTGGGCACACATGCACATACACCTGGTGTGTTTTTAAAGAATGTTTTATTATATTTATTTGTTTTCATTGCCAAAGGGTACATGCATTCACCAGAGAGAGGCAGAGAGACACAGACAGAGAGGGAGAGGGAGAAAGCACCCTCTGACAAGGTGTGGCCATACCTCAATCTCTTCTTCTCTATTTCTCCATCCTGTTGGGATTTGGGGCACATGCATGCATGCGCCTGTATGTGCATGTGCACATGCACACACACACACACACACACACACACACACACACACAGTGTTTTTCAAGCCACTGAGACTAGGACTCAAAGCACATTCAGCCATGTGGGATCTGGCTCCCTCAAACACTAGGCTACATGTCTGGCCTACTCGAGAACGTCATGGAGTGGGATCATGCGGTATGTGACCTTTTGAGATGGGCCACTTTCACTCAGCATAATGCCCCGACATCCATCCAAGTGGGTGTGTGTCAGTAGTTCATCTCTTGTCATGGCTGAAAAGAAATGACCTATACTGTATTTACCCCCCTTCATTGTCCCAAATCTGTTTCCCTCATCACAGCTGTGAATGAAGTTGGGGGAAGAAGTGTGTGTCCTTTGGGCCCTGCAGGACCCTGGCAGGGCTGAGGTTAACTTGTCTTTCTTGTTCTGCCTCAGAGTGAAACACACACACACACGCAAATTGTCGCGTGGCTGCTGTTGACTGCTTTTTGTGGCTCAACTTCCAAGGTTTTGCTTAAAATCGAATTTCACTTAGGAGAGAGGGGTACCCTTAACAGGGTCTTGGCAGCCTGTATTCCTCCCCTCAAGATTCCCAGCCAGCCAGGACCCTGGGCTTACCTGGTATATTCAGGTCAGCCTGGGATTTGAACGCCAATCTCCCACGTGGCTCCAGTATTGCCTTACTGCCAGTGCCACTGCCGCTGGGCCTCCAAGTTTTCACCTTATTCAATTTCTGTTCTCCTCTTTACCAAAGACTCAAGATTGTGCCCATCCACTGTCCTGGCCTGGTGTGGTCGGGGTCTTCAGGGGTGAGGGCTGTGACTGCTCCACTGAGGGGTCAGACTGGAGATCCTGGACCACCACGTTGGCCTTGTCCTGCTGGGTATGAGGCAAGAAGGCCCAGATGGGCCATTCACAGGAGTCCTGTGACCAAGGGAAGGTCTCTGCACTGGGATTCTGGGCCAAGGCCACCAAGGACTGGCAGATTCCGGGGGCACCTCAGGATTTTGCCAGGATGTGTCTACCAGAATCTTCATGAGGGAGGTGAGGCAGTCTTCTCAGTGCTGGCTGATACACTGGGTGATCGTGAGCAGCCTCTCTCTCTCTCTCGGAGAGGTTTTTGTTATAGGGTGCATGCGCTCACCAGAAAGACAAAGGGAGACAGACAGAAAGCGAGAAATCACACCCCCAGGGAGGATGGTCACACCATAGTCCCTTCTCCTCCATTCTCTTCTCAGGATCTTGAGCATGCATGCACATGCGCCCGGTGTGAGTTTAAGCCGCTGGGTCTGGGACTTGAACCGTGGTCAACTATGTGGGAGTCCAGTGACATAGCCATTATGCCAACTGCTGGTCCCGAGCAACCCTTTTCTCTGGGCCCTGCCCCCTCAACTGTACAGCAAGGTCTTGAACCCCAGGATCCCCTCATGTGTGATGTTCTCAGGATACCCAGTGACCTCCCCTTCACCAACAAAAACCTCCTCTGACTCCCCACTGCTCTCGGAATGGGGCTCATGCTCTTCACTGCGGCAGTCAAGGCCCTGCTAACTCTACAACGCTGCCTCTTACCCTTCCCACCTCCTTGCTCAGGCTCCTGCAACCTGGAACCAACGATCATACCCCAGACTCCGGGGACACCCTTCCCTTGCTGATCTGCTGCCCTCAACTCTACACAGACACAATCTCTTGGAAGCCCTCCCTACCTTTACACTCTAACAAAGTTAATTCAGGCTGCCCCATCCAGTTTTCATCAAAACACCTCACCATTCCTATCTCGTCT